CATATGCGCTGCTCAAGCAGGTCCGGATTGTGCGAGCTTTGGCCGCTTTCAGCGCTTTCGGAGCCTCCATCATGGATTTCCCTGATCCACAGATTCTGGACCATGTCTGCAAGAGTTGCCTGTCAGCGGAGACTCTGATGCGTGTTGCATCAATTTGAGCCTTAGACACCTGAGCAATGTTTGGGTAGTTGCTGCAACTAAATGATTGGCTACCCCAATGCTGTGGGAGATGGTACAAAATGACCTGGGTCTTGAGAGCACGGAGGCGCTTGAATTGTGCAGTATTTTACAGCCGAGCCACATCCAAAAGCTTGCAAAAACAAACCCTCTCTACATCTAGCCACTTCCCTTGCTTCTTATAGCTTTTCTTTCAGCTCCTGAAACTGCTCTGTCAGAAGGTCAGGCATTTCTTCTTCTTGCTACAATCGAACAGCCGAGCCCTCGCACTTTTATGATGACAGCTTTCAAGTCCCAAAAGAAGAAAGTTGAATCCCAAAGGTCAGGAAGTTCTGTTTTTGGAAACAATCAAGGCTTTACGGCACGTTTTGCACAGGCCAGGTTCTCGGAGAGATCTGAAGGTGGCAGTTCTTTTGGAAACCCGGAAGTGACAGACAACTCAGCAACAGGCAGGTTTCTCTATATGCACAAGAATTATGGACTCATGAGCGGGCAGGTTATTTGGCGCCTCGCCGGCGGACTCAAATAGGAGCTCAAACTCGTGGTCCTGGAAGCGTGGGAACCCTTGCCAACGTGCACGATAAAATCTCAGAATGTCATGCCGCGCGAGGCCATGGCGTGGTGCTGCACTCAGTGCTGGGATCGGAGGTGCTTTGACTGCAAATGAGGTTTTCAAACCTGATGCATGGTTTTGCGGCCAGCAACTGCTGGCCACGTCTGGTTTGTCCTGTACATCGGGCTTCGTGCCTGTGGACGTGTTCTCGTCTTACCCTCCCACGCCGGCGCAGCAGGTCCTACCCTGGGCAAAACATGATATGATGAACGTTCCTCAATGTTTCTTTCTGCACTGCCGGCCATTTTATCCTTCCCCACCCACTTCTTGATGCTACTGTCTATACATGTAAGCTTGCGCTGCCATCGTAGACCAGCAGCGCCTGCTTTTCAACTGCTGCACTTCTGCATTCACATCAAGTGAGCGGTCAAAAAATAGGTAAATATGTTGATGGAACATGTTTTCCGCGGATCTTCCGCGAGTCCTCCCGGAAGACTGCTGGCAGGCCTTCCGACGCTATGCTTCCGCGGGCTCTTCTGCGGGCTCTTCCGCGGACGTTTTCGTCTAAGGTGCTTCCGCGGTGCTTCCGCAAAAAGGACTTCTAGCCTTCGGCGGTATCGGACCAAAACCCGAGCGTACGTTAAAAAGAGCTTCCGCAAGAGCTTCCTCAAGCGAAGCGCTTCCGCGCAAGCTTCCGAGAGCTTCCGCGCGCACAGTGGGAACCACTTTTCGAAAGTTGTCGCCGGCCGATTTCCGATGTTCTTCCCGTGCCTAACTAACTTTCCTTCGGCGCCCATTTTGTCTAGCTGCTCAAGTCAAGTAGTTCAGTTTCGTCGCTGTATCTGGGTTACCCTCTCAAAACGGGTCCATCTCATCCAAACCAGTACCTGGCAAACCTGGCGCAAAAGGACTTTATTGACTACAGCGAGGTGTCCGATGCCTTGTCTGACTGTCATTCGTACCCTCACTGTGAATGAGGCGCAACCAAGCCTTCAACTGACTAGATCCTGACGAGCACCTGAAAAAACCTGGGGTCCGCATGTCATGCCCATTGACTGGGCAATTGCTACGGCCGTGCCTGAAACATGCCCAGGTACTTCTCTGATGCAGCGTTGTCCTTTGAGCATGTTCTCTCAATCTGGCCAGGCAGCATGTCCAGGTGTCTGGGTGAGACGACGCCACGCTGAGGCTCAAGCCCAACCTAGGATCCAAACATGAACTTTCCTTCGGATGGCCTGCCAAATGACATAAGTCAGTACACATGATACAGCAAGGCACAGACCTGGAGGATAAGGTCCGTAAGGCTTGTGTCCTTTGTGGGATACAACAGATGAAGCGAGCTGCATACTCTGTGGACTCATGCAGTCAGGTGACTGGTGCCCTGTGTGGAGCAGAGCTAAAAATCTTCAGCCTCGGGGCATGAACGTTTTCGCCAGGACCCCATTCACACGCACAGGTGAAAGCAACAGACGCTCCAAGCCTGGGCCTCAGAAGAAAAGGCATGATGATGATTTCGCGCTTTGCTTTGCGAAACTGCCTTGCAGGAAGGTCCCTGCTAAATTTGAACAACATTGAGCATGCCCTCCCCTTGTGATCTACAACATGATGTGCATCACCAACTGCCTGCCCTCCGGCATCCTGAACTGCTGTTTGCTCTGAGTTGGTGGCTCAAACACCTGCTGGAAAAAGATGTGGCCGCAGTCGAGGGCTTCTAAACCCTGTCACGTGCAGCAGAGGCATTTTAGGTTCTGCTGCCGCATTTGCTGTGCAACCAGCTTCCATCGTATGAACGTCAGCAAGCCTGGCAAGGAATTTCGCGGAAAGCAGCTAGTCCTGACCAAATCCCTGCTCTCACAGGGATTCGGGTGTTGGAAGCGAATCAAAGACCTTCCCCAACTTCTGAAACTGCAATACTGGTTTGCTTCTGATTGCAAGGACAACGCAGACTCTGCTAGGTTGCAAGGCCAAGAACAAGATGAAACAACAGCATGGACAAGTAAGACGGACTATGCGTAGCAGTGTAGCAGGAAGCATCTGAATTTTGCTGCAAGCTTCTCATGCAGTTAGTTCTCGGTTGGCTCTGCAAATATGTGTTGATGGCCTTCCATGCACAAGCAGGCTTACCCCAATGCACAAAGATACACAGATCGAGCTACCCAAGCATCAAGAATTTAGGTTCCCAAAGATGGGATGAAGTTGACCTTGGCTGGGGTCGTGTACCCACGACGCTGCCACCAGGATAGGTGCAGACAGCAAAAGAGGCAAAACTTTGCAGAGGGAAATCTGACTTTACAGGTCGAAACCAAAGAACGTCCTTGCAAAAGACATGCAAGCAGCCATGGCAGCCATGGCCGTGGGCGCATGACAGAAGTCCAGCTGTGCTGCTGAAACAGTAAAAGGCTTTGCAAGTCACCGGAATACTTGTGTGCCACATGCGTGCATCTGTAAGCTGAGTGGGGAATGCATTGAAGTATCAGGAACACGGAGGGGAGACGGAAAGGGTAAACCGGACAATCCCAGCTGGGACCTCTGCGTAGCACAATAGTTGAGCTACAGTGGCAAAGCATCATGTCGAATGCAGGCAGCAGGCACACTTGTCTCACAATGAATACGGAAAGAAGGCGCACTGCAACGGAACCTTCTGCTCCACAGGATAGAAGCATGCGAGATTCCTTAGTCCACTGGCACACTCTGTTGAGACTTGAGACCCAGTGATGGATTCCAATCTGATTCTGGCATATGGCTTGAATATGGATGCACATGGAATACAGCTCCGCTTCCAATGCGAAATCCACACACCATTGAATACAACGTGAAGGCCCAAAGGGAATGTGCTCATGGTCCTCAAACCTGCATTGAATACGTACAGTTCTGATACGTCTGCACTGCATTAAGTACGACTCCACTGCAGTTTAGACATGCTTTGCAATGATGCATGTTAAATACCTGCTGGATACCACTTGGTACGGGAGGTGCAGTCCTGGAAAAAAAACAAGCACAAAGCAAGCCAGGCAGAACCAACCTTATTGAATCCCAGCCAATCCAAACTGTCAAAAGCATTTGGAAATCGCATTCGAGTTCCTGATATGGTTCGCATACGATTTGAATACGATTGTAACACACTGCTGAACCTGTTCAATCATGGGTGGCAGACTCAGTCGGGTATCTCAAATGAACGAAAAAAATCATGTGCGCGACCTGGTATACGCAGTCATGCAATCTGCACTTGAAGCTGTGTTCAGAACACAAGTGGTCTGTGGTAAAGTGTGTTGTGATTTCCTACGAGTGCCCCAACTCTGTTCAGACACTTGGAAGAATTAAGTAGAAAGAATAAAAGAACAGAATGCGTAGTTGTTCCAAAGCATGCTCAAGCACAAAGCCTCAAAGCATTGGAGATGAATAAGTGGGAGGCATCAGAGGCTCACGCGCTTGGGGCGAAAATGAGGTCGTGGATACTTTTCTCATGTGCCTGCAAACCATGTAACCACCGCAGATGCTACTGAACATGCTTCCGCAAACTTGCCTGCCAAAACGTCAGCGGCTGGGCAAGCTGGGAAGCCTGCGTTTCATCTCTCTCATGACTCTCTCTTGAAAGTCTGCTCCGCAGAGTTGTCGCGCTCAGTGCAGAGTGCTTTGGCAGTCTTACAATTCTCCTTTTTCCGCCACCGGGCTCAACGCTTCTTGGCTGGCATCAGGTCCTGCGGGCGCATTGGTCTTTAAATGTCTTTAATGTCTTGAAGTATTCCGCCCTGAGCATTTGCCACGTCCTGGCATTGCAAGGCGTGCTCTGTGTAGGCTTTCTAGTTGGCGGAGGAGGCATCGTAGAGGAGGAGGCCTCCTGAACCAGAGAACAGCATGTGGAGGGAGAAGTTTGACAGCAATCTTCCCCGGCAGAACTGTGATTGGTCTGTTTTCGGGCGGCTTCTGTTGCTCATGCCTACCTCGGACAACCACCCCACTGAGGGGTGCACTATCGACAGTGCCACAGATGTGGAAACAAGCTAGCATTTGAATTATGCACATGTGTCCGGAGGCATTGCATGGAGGCTTCAGGCATTGCTGCAGCAGGGTTAAATGCTCATTCACAATGGCCACGGAAAATAGATGGCCGATGCAAGAGGACTTTGCAGCCAGCGCACCTTGGATGCGTCTTGAAGACTTGCCTGCGAACCAAGCGCTCGCAAAACGTGGCTGGGTGAGATGACATTGAAATTTCTTTGGTTTTGATGGCTGAACCGCACGTGGTCAGCACCATGCAGGAAGGTGTGCATCACTGCCAACTCAGGACCTGAGTTAACGCTTCAGAGCTGCACACACTATGCACTTGATGCGGTCTGTCTGCACCACTGCGAGTGTTGATGTTGGCATGCGCCGCAAGCTGAGGCAGCAGCGACTTTTCCTGCTTGTCCAGATAACATGGCGTCGAAGCCATCTTGGTACTGATCAACCGAGAACCTGCGGGCAGGCAGTACACACGATTTGCTTTTCCTTCCACTTTCTTTCTTTCTTTCGCTCGGGCCCCGGGATGACCAAGGTCCTTGACCTTCCACTCTCCGTCTCTGTCCTTGATCAAACAGCAGCCTCGGACTGATGAGAAATGATCAGCCATTCTTTGATGTCTTGAGCTTCAAGGATGAGTCCCGCTGCTCCAACCGGCAACACTGGTACGACCACAAGAAAAAACGACAAGCAGGATCCACAAAAAGGAACGCAGGAACCACAACAGGCAAACCAACAAAAGTGCAACACGCGATATTTGACCATACTCACGAAGCGGCAGGTTGTTGTGGCTGCTTGTTGATGTTGATCATTTTTACCCCACTGACGGACTTACAGTGATAGCGCCTCGTGGTAGTGCCAAAAACAGATCATACAAATCGGGACTCCCAGAAGATTTGGTGGGTGAGCCAGATTTTCTAGCGTTTGATAAAAGACGGCAGGTGGGTGATGAAGAGGGCCTGTTGGTGGCGAAGTCCGCAGAAGATGATGACTCGCATGGCCTTTTGTGCTTGAGTTCCACTTTCATCCACTTTCATACTTCTGGAGCTCGAAAGCCCTGACTCCCTCGCAGGTGGGTGGCGTTTTGAAGGGCTCGAATAAGTAACTCCAAGGGGCTTTGGCAATTTTCAAGCTTGCGGAGCTCGAAAATTCAAAACAATGACTTCCTCTTCCACGAGTAGCAAATCCCCACAGGCCTTTGGCGGGGGAGTTGCTTTTTCATGCTTTTGAGGCGACGCGCTCCCAAGATCTCGCAAGTGTCTTTGAAAACATCACAACATCTTCAATGTGCGTATCATGCCTGTGTCTGCATCGTGCAGCAAGGAGAGGTGCGTTGGCTTAGCAGGCAACTTCAGAGCCAATCACTGTTGTGGCCAGAGGCTACGACCTCATGATGCCTGTTCCAAGTTCCATGAACCTTGTTACTGTTCTACGAACCTTGTTTCGGTTACCACCATGTCTTCCTGGATAAGCCCGGACTAAAATTTGTCAAATGCTGCTGTTCCTACTTGGCAATGCCCGCCTGTGTGTTATGACAGGCGCAACTCTGTCTTGAAGACCGCCAACCAACATGCTTTGCCTCAGTTGGGTAAAACATCAAAGGCTGGAGCTGCAGATCATTGTGCACAGGACTTGCTGTCTCTGCCCAGACCGATGCTCTAGCTTCCCCCTCCACCTGTCCTGCGGGGGTTCGTCACGCAGGCTGACGAACCCTACATGAACTGAGACTCACGTCCTGCCGTCTCTTTTCCTTTCTTGCTGTCTTCGTTCGTCGTCCATATGTCTGTTGGTGTGTTCCTTCTTTGCTCCGCATCCTTTGGCGACCCTGTCCTCATGTACACTTCTGCCAACCTTCCTTCCGCTGCCAGTCATGGTTGCTTTATTTTTCCCGTGGTTCCTTCTGATGGTGTTGATGGCGTTTTTTCTTCTTTCCCAGTCCCCTCTCATTGGCTTCTCATTGGCCTCGCTGTCTCTGCATCCGTGGCTGTCTGTCCACATTCATTCTCTACCATGTACGCCCAAGTGCCTCAAAACATGTCCGAGACATGTCAAGAAACAAAAAGCCCTCCGGTTCAAACCTGCTTGTACACTAGCAGCAGGAACATGACCTGTTTCAGCAACTCACTGCAGGTGCGCCACATTTTATACCACGTCTCAAACATCTCTCTGCCATAGATCCCCTTGATCTCGAGGCCCTTGAAGATCACATGGTCCCAGTTTATTTGGAAGGGCTTTGACGGTATGCCCAAGAGGCCCACGCGAGCGCCAACATTCAGAGTTTCCAGCATGGAGTGCACAGCACTGGGAACTCCTGACATTTCTAAGCCAATGTCGAAGCCCTCCGTCATCTTGAGCTCGCGCATCACTTGCCGGAGCCTCTCGGTGGGATCACCTCCGCCAACATTGATGGCTCTGGTCGCACCACACTTCATGGCAAGGTCCAAGCGGTAGTCATTGATATCAGTTATAACCACATGCCGGGCACCAACGTGCCGGCAGATTGCAGCAGCCATGACCCCTATGGGTCCAGCTCCTGTAATAAGCACATCCTCACCTACCAAATCAAAACTCAAGGCAGTATGGGTGGCATTGCCCAAAGCATCCATGAAGCTAGCCACATCGTCCGACACGCCCTGGCTGAGCTGGAAGACATTGTAGGCAGGGAGGCAGAGATACTCGGCAAAAGCACCAGGACGGTTGACGCCAACGCCCACGGTTTCTCTACATAAATGCCGTCTGCCTGCTCGGCAGTTTCGACATACACCGCATGTGATATGACCTTCTCCAGTCACGCGGCTGCCAACCTTCAGACCTGTCACTTCAGAGCCTCAGTGACCAGGCCACTGATTAGAACGTCATACAGCAACGGGCACTTCTTGCTAAGTTCGGGACCAAGTTCTTTAATGATTCCACAATATTCATGCCCTACCACCATCGGAGTTGGTATGGTTCGCATTGCCCACTCATTCCAGTCGTAGATATGCACATCCGTGCCACAAATGGCGGTCCTCGGAAGTGCATAAGCTTTTGGGCCGCCGGGCTCTGGAAACCAAAGTATCTCAACCATACAACGTAATGCTGCATGCGCATGCACCGATACATGCCCTGGGTGCGCTCGCGAACTGCTCACGCCTGACGTATAGTAAAAGCTTATCAAAGCTGGCTGAGGGCCAGGAGAGCATGCAGGGATACTCCAGCCACTCACCACCCGCTAAATCTTGCTTTAGTCGCCATCTCACGTTGTAAAAGAGAAGCAGCCCTAGCGCAATGCAAAGCTGTACAAGCTGCACAACCTCTAGATTTGTGCGGCTTGCTGCGCAGCTTGCAATGCGCCTAATGTGCAGGCTGATTCACATTGAACGAATCTCGTTTCTGCCCTTCAACTGGGGCGAAGCAGCAATGCACAACCAAGGCAAATACACCAAAAGGTTCTGGATGGCAGTCCCAGCAGCTTCTGAACTTCTATGAGCACGTCATTCGGCCCGATCGCCGGTTTCGGCACTGTGGTCAGTGTCAACCCCTCCGCGCGCTCTGTCTTCACCAGCGCCTGGAGCAGGTGGAGGTAGCCGTTCAGTCAAGAGTCCAGAAGGTAGAGAGGGCGGAAGATACTGCTGGGATCTCTCTAGGCCTGAATTATGCTTGTGGAGCTAGGATGAATTAAGGATCAAGCCAGGGCTGGAGCATGCCTGGTTCACCAATTATCGAGAACAAAGGACTAAAATCATGGAATGAACATGCTCTGCCATTGTATTGGGTCCTGATTGCTGATCAGGCAGGGTTCCTCACAATGTACCCTCCCAGATATAACGAAACACTTGACTACCTCAGCCCAAACTCCAGTAATCCCATGACATCCCTCCGTGAGCGTGCTTCAGCTCAAACGTGCCCATAACTCTCAAAACCAGCACAGCACATGGGTTCACCTTCATGCTCGTACCCCAGAGCACGGGCTGAATTGGCTGCGGAATCGGTTGCGGAATCGGTGCTGCAGAAAGCGCAGGAGCTGCAGCATTAGCCTTCAGGCAGGATCTGACGCAGGCTCATCAATGAAACCCCGCGGTAAATCATGCAGCAGCTGTGTGGCTAAGACATGCTAAGACGACCCCTTCACAAGCGGACATGAAATGTCTTGGATTGCCGCGCCTCCGAGGAGACTTTCCTCCGGAATGGCTGGAGCGATCTGCTCAAGGAAATGTCCAGCACCTTCGAATGTGAGTTCGGCCCATCCAAAGAAGCATTGATACGTGATAAGGCTTGGTCGGGAACAACGCTCATTTTGAGGTCGCCCCAATCATCACAGAAACAAGTCACAAGCGATCAGACCCTAAAACGATAGACAAAACAGTTGCACGCGATTGAAAGAACAACTGTCACAAGCGAGTGTAGTTCCGCCCCGCTATGGTTTCTTTCCCTCTCGGAAAACTGTTTTGACCGGGAATTGACTGTAAACGACCCTCAGAGGCACCATTAGCGGCTTTCGAGGAAGTCCTTGAGACGAGCAGCGGTCACAGTCCGCGAGTCAATTGAATGCGGCACTGAGCTTATGAACCATTCCAAAGTAGAAATGGCATGTTTGGCGAAATACTCGCAGGACATCACATGATGCAACGGGCCTGCCCCACACGAGGGTAACCTCTCCGCAATCCAGAGCAACACGCCATGGCGGAGACAAAAGTTCGCTTGATTGAAAGACAGCTCCGTGATCGATCCACAACATCTGAACGCAAGACTCATGAGAGAAGTAACATTCCGGCACTCAGCAAATCGACGGGTAAGAGCAGAAGCAGCCAAAGCCCGATGCCTCCTCCAAAGAAGAAGGCCTTCCATCGCCATGCCATCGCCATGCCAGACCTGCCTGGAGGCCATGGAATCCACCTGGCCTCTCCGCATTTTTTGCACCTAGCAGTCTTGTCTTTATGCGATCATTCCACGGCAATTCCTCTTGCAGGGAGACAGATGCAGCGGACCCAAACTTCGCATGCAGGAGCCCAATCTGCAGCACAAATATAGGAAAGCAATCCAACTCTGCTCGTCTGTCGGAGAGCTGTAAATGTGTCACACCTCTAGCATGAAGCGCAGAGCTGACTTGCAGGGACGCCCGAAGTTCCTTGCAGTAAACGTTGCCTTCTCAGCCTCCTCTGCGGCCGTTTGTGCCCATGAAGGGTCCTGCTGACTGCTAGAAGGCCGACACGAATCCCTAGCAACACATCAGGCATCACTTTCTGGGCTGTCCATCGCAGCGCGCGCGCTCAGTTCCTGGACCCGTTGCGCCCCGTCCGCAGCCTGCACTGCAAAGTAAGTAAATACACTGCAACATGCAGAAGCACCGCAGAAGCACCCGAAAGGCCCTGAAAGGGAGATAAGTGAACTCAAAGTCTCCTAGACACTGCTACAGCTTCACCCTCTCCTAGCAACCGTCAAAGGAACAAGCAAGTAGCACCGCTGGTTCTGAAGCACATTTTGATGGATCTGCAAGCTTCTGTCTTGGATCCGGGCTTCCTGCGCATCCCAAATTAGGATGCGAGCGTCAGAACCTGCCAGGCATTGTTGGAAGATTTTTCTTGGTCTTAAGGTCGAAGGGGGGCAGCGTCTGCTGCATGCCTCCAGTCGCAAGCCTACTTCCATCAGGCGACCATGCCAAACTCCAGACCTGCCAATCTCTGCACCGAAGTGTAGCTTTCATCAGAAATTAAGACCCCTTTCAACGACAGCCAGGACGACCCAGTTTGCATGATTTCGCGGAAGTATCATGACCGGCAGACCGGTACTGACCTGCCATGTGTGAGCTCATGCTGCTCAGCATGCTGCAAGCACCTTGCCTAGCATCACTTGCACATGTGCTCCAATTCCAATGCCAGCACCGTTCTTTCTGGTCGACTTCACAGAATGAAACGTCCTGTGTTAGCAACCTGCTGGCTGCATCTGGCTGCGTATGTACAGTACAAGTTCTAGATGCTACCGCCTCGGACTATGGTGCCTGACTCGGTTCTCACTTCACAGACCTCACAGACCCAGCGTCAAAGCATGTTGCACGAGGAGACTGGCTCCCACCTTGAGGCGCTGATTGAAGCTTGTCACTTCTCGACACATACCGGCAGCATCAGGTACCAGCATGGGTCCTCAGCGCTGACCCTGCAATAGATCTTGAACAAGATGTGCAGAGGTGCAGGCGTCTGCATCTGTCATATGTGCCTGCGACGCTTAAGAAGCGGCTTCCTTGGCATCACCACAATCGTCGTGCTCAGTGTCCAGAGGCACCATCAAACCAAGATGCAAAGGCCCTGCCCAGTTCGCCCCAAAGCCCAAGGCCCTGGCTCGTCGGGCTTGTCGTCCAGCTCAGCATGCATTGACGATGGCACGTTCGTCATATTCGTTGCTGTCGCCACCTCCCCTGTGTCAGGTGATGGTGCGGGACTTGGCCTCAGCATTTTCTGTGATGTCAGGTACGCCGTTGCTGCAATGCATGCAAAGATGTTCCTGTCGCCTCCTCCTCCTCCTGGTGCTCACACAATGACGCAAGCACTTGTACTTGCAAAGCAAGTTTGTTGCACCTGTCAGTGGTATGGCTTGTCAGAGCAAAGGCTCAGGCAAAACACTACAGTCAGGATCATCAGCGGCCTGGCCCACAGCAACCCACGTCCAGCACACTCTCAGTGATTTCAATGCGCTTATGCTCGCACGTCCTTCGCGGCACGAAGTGCTTCGTACTTCTTGTGCCTAAGTGTGCAATCATGAGAACTTCCACTGCATTCCTCGCGAATAAGAGCAACACCGATAGCAGTATCTGCTTCCCGGGCATGGCTTCAGCAGACATGTGTCATCCTCCAGTCCTTCAGCTTTGGAAAGCACTGGCAACGAAAGCGATCCAACACGCATCCCATGCACAGCCTCTGCGAACCGTAGCGGCGCAACGCTCCTTCACTGAAACAGAAGCAAAGGTTTCAACAGCAAAGCCAACGAAGCGAATGCCAAAATGTATCAGACACTGCTGAGACGGCTTCGGCTGGAAGGACTTCGAATGTACTCTCTCTTCGCTTCCAGTTCAAAGCCCCTTCAACCATCTCGCATGCTCCTTCACAGCTCTTGTGGTCCCAGAGGAACCAGAATTGCAGCTTGTCGCTGGGACAGCACCTGCAAGATGTGCAAGCATACGCGTCGTGAGCACGATGCATCCTGCTTCTGGCGACACCTGCGGGCTGTAACTTCGCGGTGGTCCGACTGCCATGAGCAGTGAAGGCAAATCCCTTGAATTCTGGAAGCAGATGCTTGCCTGCTTGTTAGTTTGTCCAGGAATGTTCCTGGAAGTGTTTTTGGCATATGGCAGCACACAACATTCAGTCACACCACATTCAGTCAAGTCGCCTGTCTTGGGGATGAGCGGCGGAGTGGTCACCTAGCACGGCAGGATTGCTTTCCTCAGTGCAGAATCTCGACAAGTCCTCCGATTGCGACTGCCAGCCAAATGACAATGGCTAAGTGGCAAAGTGTGTGGCTCAATGGCTGATCTTAGTCATAGCCCGGTTCCAATGAATGCAGATGGTTTTTCCAAGAAGAAGCGCGAAGGGGGGCCCGCGGAGACGAGCAATCGACAAGAGCCAGAAAGTTTGGAGACTCAAGACCCTGGGCTGGGGGCTTTCGGGCTATGAGGGCTGCTAAGCTTTGGGCATTGAGATTTTTCAAGAGCAGCAACAATTTCAGAATGCTGGATGAAGCCGCAACCTGCGGACTAATTAAAGCGTGGGACAGCATGGAACACTTTCGTGTGTCGTTTTCGTTTGTTTATACTAAAATAGTGATTGGCATCAATCTTGCCATCACGACCACTCTTCGCATCACAGTAGCACTATTAATGCTACCAGGAAACGGCATTCAAACAACTGCACTAATGACTAAAGATTGCACCTGCATCTTGCAGTGCCCGGTCAAACCTGCTTCGAAAGTAAAAAGCTCGGGGAGAACTGAGAACGGCACAGTTGTCAGCAGGGCAGCTAGATTCTCTGAAGGCTTCCCAAAGACCGGGTGAGATGGGGCCCCAGGTTGTCAACTAAAAGGGCTTCTGGCAGAGCAGCGTGCTTCGTCCATCCTTGCATGATCTTGCGTGCTCCCATTGAGACATGCGACTCCTGACGTCATCAGCATGCTCGTCATTGTATAAGCATCCTCTCCACCACATTTATGACATGTTTTGATGGAATCGCGAGTGAGATCCGCAGTTTTCACAGCCTAAAGATGCACTACTAGCATCCACGTATGCCTGTGTTCAATCTCTTTCCATCTCTTTCCTCTTGCGTGATGCCATACCTGGCATGCATCTTCATTGGACATGCCATCACCTGTGTCATTGTCGTCAGCATGGTAAGCATGCTGGTTGTGGTAGTGGCGATGATGATGATGATGATGATGATGTTGGTGGTGGTAGTGGTGGTTATAACTATTTACAAGCATCATCATCATCACCATCATCATCACTATCATCAGCATCATCATCAGCAGCATCATCATCAACATCATCATCATCAACATCATCATCCGGCTCATCATTGACTCAACCTCATCATCAGCGCGCTCATCGTCATGAATGTTCTGATGATGATGATGATGATGATGATGCTGACCATGATGACCATGATGACCGTGATGATGGTGGGTGGTGATGATGATGATGATGATGATGATGGTGATGGATGGTGGTGATGCTCATCACCATGGTTATTTATCCTCATTTCTTGTATATCATAATCATTGCTGACATCGTTACTGGTCTATCATGGTAATCATCGTCAGAGACATCTTGTTCCCGTGTGTTCTCATGAGTATGATGACATTCAACAAACAACACCAACCCTATCGAGGTCACGCATATCAGCTTTGTCTCGCCGTGATCCTAATCTTCTTCCTCCTTTTCTGCAAACCTCGCCATCACCGGTGCCATCTCCAGCCGCTTTAAACATCCCAAACCTTTGTCGCTGTTTCCATGGGTAGGATCTTCGTTGAGTAGAGACCCGTGGGACAAAACTGTGCTCAAGACAGCTCAGAATCCTTCCTGAAGCTGTCGATTCATTCTCTCAGGCCTTGAGGCCATAAGCTGGGGGGCTTTGGAGTCCAAAGGTTTGACCGAAAGCCAAATATGCAAAACGGGTGCAACCTTGAAATCGCAAAGCACCGGCACCATCAATCTGACCACAAGTCCAGGACGTGCTCGGCTTTGTTGGCTGTAGTGAACTGTAGTGCTAAAGCATTCGGTCGCTTTGGTGGATTTTGTCTGGATCTCTTGAATCTGGGCCGTGCACCACCCAATATCCCCAAATCCTTCAGAAGATAGAGAAATGAAAATGATCAACATACAATAGTAGGAAATGATTGAAATGATGATTGGAGTCGAGGCGCTTGCTGAGCCTCTGCCTCATTCCCGACAATCATTTCTGCCTGCGCGCAAGAGCCAGGATTGTATGCAGGCATGGGTTGCCACGCTGCATGCTAAATCATCCTCACTGTTGATTTGACGTAAGGTTTGACTTGCGTCAGTCAGGTAGCCTGCCTCGGCACTGACAGCAGGTCCGCTAACACGCGGTGCTGCGCCTTCAATCTACGGACTTTGCAAACAACTTGGACCCACTAGCAAGGCTAATACCTTACCGCAGTTCCCCTTGCCAAAGTCACACTGTAGGCAACACAAGTTTCTATGAAGAACGGATGAGTGGCATCTTTGGCCGAGACTTTGCGGCAAATGCGGTCCAGTTCGCACTTCGGCGAATTTGGTAAAAATGCCGGTTCAGCTGAAAGGTCAGAAGATTAAGCGAACTCCACCTGAGCAGCTTCAGTTGCAATGGCTTGCAATGGCCGCAACCTCGTTTAGATGACGTGACACAACTTGTCCCAGCCGCACATTGCACGGATGGCTTCTTCAGAGCCAAAACCGGTCTTCGCACTCACCAGATATGCCTTGGTCACTTGCTCTTACAACCTCTTGCAACTCTGAAAAGCTGACTACAACTCTGGGCTTCGATTGCTTTTTAAAACAAGTTGCTTTGCACTGGCGAACGGTGCGTGCCACAACACAAGAGGCTGCGGCCGCGCTGCACTTGGCCTACCGCTTCATACAGCTCGCTGTGCGTCGCAAACACTTGAGCTGCAACAATTAATTAGCCAAGGCTGCAGTGATTCGCCTGCACATCAGCTCCAGGGCTTTGGGCCACGGCAGCCACAGCAGCCTTGCTGTCGTCATCGGGATCAGCATCTACCTGCTGGCCAGAGCTACCATAATCCATAAGATGGAACATACCCACAAGTGCAGGCCCGAAAGCAACATGTGCACGGCTTGATTTTGCTGCGGTGGTGGAACATTAGTGCTACTTGTTACACTCGTTTCTGCAACTTGCTTGTACCTCATTCTAGTCATTTTGCTCGTACTTGCACTAGTACTACTTTCTGCACTCCTTCTTAAATCCTGAACCAAAACCTTAAACACCTTAAACCGTAACCAAGCCAGAGCTTTGGATCTTCAGCCTCCAAGGGTCAGAGTTTAGGATTTAGGGTGCTGGATCAAGGGGACTTATTCATTATAGGGATAACAAAGGTTGCTATATGCTTTATGCGGGCTATAAGTACCTTTACTACTACTCTTACGTTTCCAAAGTATGATGGCAACTAATACCTAAGCCCTAAAAACCCTAACTGCCCTCTGGTTTTGGAAGTTCCTGGGCTCTTTAACTCCCCTTATTATATTGCTAGAGACTATCCCCGGCTCCTTAGTTCCCCCCAAAAGTATGTGT